AGCTGGCCTAGAAACCATTATGTAGATCATGCTAGCCTTGGATGGCCTTAAATATTCGTATTCTAAGGCTCTATCTAATACAAAGGGTAGATAAAATTTGTGCACAAAAAGATAGGTAAACTGAACATATCATAAGAAATCTGATTTCAAAAAATAATGGATGGGTAAGCCACAGTATGGCCATAATGAAACAATTGGTAGCTATTATTTTTTTTTTCATTTCCTTCTTTTGTTTTGGTTCAGTGCTGGGAATTGAATTCAAGGCCTCAAGCATGCCATTAAAACATGTATCCCTGATCTCAACCGCTAGACCCTAGAAATTATTTTTATGAGATTGAAAATGTCTTGGAAGTAAGATTGTATACTAACATTAAGTCAGAAAAGAGAATACAACATGTATATCCAATATCGTAGCCATAGAATAAACAATGCATTTGTATACAAATTAAAAACATATGTATTAGCCGGGCATGGTGGCGAACGCCTTTAATCCCAGCACTCGGGAGGCAGAGACAGGTGGATTGTTGCGAGTTCAAGGCCAGCCTGGTCTACATAGTGAGTTCAGGTCAGCTGGGACTACAAGGAGACCCTGTCTCAAAAAGACAAAGACAAAAAAAAAATGTATTAACACTAGGCATATTAAAAGGACTGACTATGGGATGATGAGTTTTCTCTATCTACTAGATAGTTCTCTATGCCATCTAAATATTCAGCATGACAACATACTCTTGATAACCAGAATATAAAAATAAAAACTAGAAATAGGATAGGTAGTTTTCTCTAAGAAGTAGGGTTATAGGCAATTTTTAAATTCTATGCTTTCTGAATTTTCTAAATTTGCTTTTAATGATCATGAAATAAGTGTTATTTTTCTTATGGCAACATATCATATGTACAGAGAAGCTATACCATCTGTCCAAGCTCTGGTTCCAAGATTCTAAGCAGTCACACAGAGAAGAGTCCTGAAGCACTACAGTGGCTAGATGGACAGTAAGCATGCTGTTCACTGTGTCATTAGGTAGCAGGTTCTTTTATCCTTTCTTAACAGTTGTAAGAATGCCATTTTGAATCCCCTTCCCTCTACTCTTATATCCATATTATAACTTGTGTTTACTTCAGAGGAGCTAAACAGCAATGATTTCACTTGGGACAAGAACCAGGAGAAATTGTATGCATTTAATTACATTTTGATTTTTGAAAAAGATCATGTAGTTGATTAGTAAAGAAAACAGCAGAAAATTGCAGTTTAGACTTAAGTTGTGAGTTTGGTACAAGATGATACAAGATTTGATACAAGATGATTTCCTGATGATACTATCAAAGATTCTTTGAAGATTTTTCTCAGGCAAAATCAAGACCCATAGGAAACCCTGGGTAGATGGTTTCTGTTTACCCTGCGGCACAGCTGTTCTAGTGGACAACACTAATACCAAGCAATGTGTTTCTATTTAGTAACTATGCCAGCTTGACATCTGTTCTGCTGTCTTTCCCAACAATGTTCATGGATATCTAGGAAGCCTCATGTAAACTGGGCCATTCTAGACTTCTCACATTCTAGACTTCTTCTATCTCTTAGGTCTTAGGCTGTTGCTGGATTCTGACCCAGCCATACCTTGTCTCCACATCATCACATAATATGCCTTTAATACAGAGAGAGAGAGAGAGAGAGAGAGAGAGAGAGAGAGAGAGAGAGAGAGAGAGAGAGAGAGAGAGAGAGAGAGAGAGAGAGAGAGAGAGAGAGAGAGAGAGAAAGAGAAGGAGAGGGAGAGAGAGAAGAAGAAGGTGGAGGAGGAGGAGGAGGAGGAGGAGAAGGAGGAAGAGAGGGAAAAAAAGGACCTATAATTTTTCTTGTTGCTGTTGTTCTGTGATGCTGGGGGCTGGGATTGACTCTAGGCCCTACACGTTAGACAAGTACTCTACTACTAAGCTATATCCATAGTCAGTTTTTCTTTTTTTTTTTTCTTTCTTTCTTTTTTTGGGGTCTTTTTGAGACAGGGTCTCCCTGTAGCCCCAGGTGGCCTAGAACTTGCTATGCAGACCAGGCTGGCCTTGAACTTACAAAGATCTACCTGCCTCTACCTCCTGAGTGCTGGGATTAAAGGCATGCACCAGCACACCGGGTACCAGTTTTTCTTTATAACTCAGAGAATCTACACATCCCAAAGTAGTGACAAACATGACAGTAACACCTGCCATCACTCTATTTGTATCAGATCTAAACTGAAAGCTATATTTCACAATTCCAGAAGATACTAAAGTTTCACTCAAAGTATCAATAATTTTTGGAAGGCTTTTTTAATGCAAAAGTGAATATTTTATTTTGGCAGGATTAAAGGGGAAAAAATGAAAACTTCTGTATTTTTACACTAAGGTGAAAATAATGTTTAAACTTTCTAATCAATCAGATACATTACAAAAGAAAGTATGTTACAGTAGGTTCTAAATACAGGCAAACCTTAAAACAACAATATGAGAAGTCACAGTACAAAACAGTCAGGAACACGAGAAAATTTTTACTGCTAAATTTTCAGTACTGGGGGTTGAACCCAGGGCCTCACACACACACTAGGGAAGTACTCTACCACTGAGCTATATTCTCAGCCCCAATTTTTAAAAATGTTTTATTGTTGGGGAAGGCACTCCATGGTGCATGTGTAAAAGCTCACTGTAGGAGTGCTGGGATTATAGGTACATACCACCACATAAAGTCTTTTTCCCTCCCTCCCTCCCTCCCTTCCCTCCCTTTCTTCCTTCCTTCTTTCTTTAAATTTTCTTTAAATTTTGTTATAATTATTTATTTACTGGAGTAGGAGGGGACATGCCATAGGGCGCATGTGGACTTCAGAGGACAACCTGATTCAATCCCCAGTTGTCAGGCTTGCGTGGCAAGTGCTTTTACCCACTAAGTCCTCTTACCTTAATATTAAACTCAATTTCACATAAATCTTTAATTATACGTATGTAGGAAAAAATATCTTGAGGCCAGACTCAGTGGTATAGTGCTTGCTTAGCATAGCAAAGCCCTAGGTTCAATCCCAAGCACAGGGAAAGGGGTGGTGGGGTGGGGGGAGTGGCAGGGGTAGAGGGTTTATTATATATACAAAATAGTAAAGCAGAAGAATAGATGGTTTTAATTTACTAACTTCAGCATGTGGTGAAAACAAGTGCTCCCACACTCTGAGCACATACTATCTCTGTAGTGCCTTACCTTGACTCCCACTGCCACCCTATCTCAAATAGTCTCCTTCTAGGCAAATTATATCAAAAGCAATCAACGCCAACAGATTCAATCTAGGGTCCAAAGCATAAGCAAAGTCAGATTAAATTAAAAATATCTAAACCCAATTTTGACCGCCCCTACTGTTACAATTTATCAAAAGTAGTACGACTTTCAAATCTGAATAAAGGATCCATTGCCTACAGCAAATGACTCCTGAGCACACTAGGCTGATTCTGTCACATACATAAAGAACAAACAGTTACACCAGAAAGTATTTTGAACTGGGATTCAGGAATAATGCTATGAGCCTGTCCCTTCTACAGCAAGCCTCATCGGATGTGTCTCAGCTTTAAGGACAAATCACATCCCTAAAACATCTTAGCTCCAGACTTATCTAGGGAAAGAGTAAGTAACAAATTCAGGATGAGATTTCAGTCCCAATCACCCAATAACAAGTTATGAAAGTTGGATTATTTTGGTTTTTTGCTACAGGGTCTCACTGTAGCCCCAGTTGGCCTAGAACTCACTATATAGAGCAGTCTCACAGAGATCCACCTGCCTCTGCCTCCTCAGTGCTAGGATTAAAGGCATGCATGCACCACCACACCTGCCCAATAATAAAAATTTTATAACACTGATTTTCTTTGTCTAAAACATGCATTCTGGAGATCATGGGTATCTAGCAGATATTCTATAGTAGTAGCCAATAATTATAACTGGTTTGCCAGTGTAGTAAGTATTAGTTCTTTTTTTTTCTTATTCCCCCAAACTGGGGAGTAAACAGATACTAGCTTTTCTGTTGAAGCTAACACTACAAAGACTGTACTTAACATAAGTGCATCTTGAAAACAACTATTTGCCTGTGGGTATACAGGGTAGATGAATAGTAGAAGCAAGGAGCAGGGCCTGAAGCACTGTCCTTTCTCACCAGTGCCCTTTGTGTCCACTTCAAGTCATTGCTACGGCATCTAGCTCAAAGTGGAAGTGTCTGCTGTGTGGGCTTACCAGGCTTCCTATATATCCATGTACTCATTCCCTTCTTAGATTTCTTTCAGGACTAGTTAATGGACAAAGTAGGTGGGTAGAGAATTGCTGGTTCATTTTATTGATTTTCAAGTTGGTAATAGAGCTACAGACAAAAAGTAGATTAGGGAGAACAGTACCACTTAGGAAAATATTAGTAAGTCAGGCTAGATTTTCATTTCTAAACATAAAGCCAAGAGAAACCTTCATTTTGTATTAATAGTAATTTGGTATTTTCTTTTAGGAAAGGATTTTGCTATTGAGATGTCTCTCCTCCAAACTGCCCATCATGTATTTTATCTGTAGTTTGGTAACAACCTTCCATTTGCCACTTGTGACAAATATCATTGGAGGAAAGGAGATCTCAGTCATGGACAGCTCAACCAAGAAACATAGTCACCAGATAGGTTCCTGGAAGGCACTTTTTAACATAATAGCAAATCATTTTAAATACACTTGATCCAATGACTAAAAGAGCACTAGGAAGTCATAATTAGCAATAAGAGATCCACTTCTAGCTAGACATGGTGGCTCATGCCTAAAATCCCAGCACTTGGGAGGCTGAGGCAGGAGGGATTACCATAAATTCAAGGCCAACCTGGGCTAGAGAGTAAGACCCTGCTTCAAAACAAAGCAAAACAAAAGAAAATACAAATAACAACAAAAGATGCACTTCTCTAAGATCACCAGCACAGGAAGGAAGGCACTGTAGAGAGAGATCCCATACAGAGCCTCTTTGGGCTTGTACAGTCCTTACCTGACAGTCAAAGTCCTGGAAGTTTCGTGTGCCATTCTGTCAATAGAAGGCAGAAAACAAAGTCAGTTTCCCCAAATGTGCAACAAATTTAGTTCACAGTGAAAGCAGTGCATGGTAGCCTCCTGGTTCTCACAAACTAAATAGTTCTCATTGAAAAGCTTCAGAGCAAGGATGGGCTTTTGATGAGCTAGTGCAGGTTACATTTTCAGAGGTGAGATTAATGTGAAGATAAAGCCTAGTTGCCCAGCAAATCTTATGATTGCATGCCTTCCTATGGAAGAAAGCACTGAGAATTGTAGGAAAAGGGTGAAATAGGAACAAGAGTCTGAAAGCTCACCCTTAACAGATGTATGTAGTAAGTATCTAGGAAGAAAGGTAGTAGAAGCCAACACTGAGAGAGATGAAGAACAGGAAAAAAAGCACTCAGATCTAGAACTTAAAGAAAGGATTAGAAAGAGGACAAAGCCAAGGATAGAGGAGAGGTGACGATTTCAAATCTAATTTTTGTTAGTTTTTTTTCTTTAAGAAAAGCAATGTCAGGGCTGAAGAGATGGCTCAGCGGTTAAGAGCACTGGGTGCTCTTGCAGAGGACCGGGGTTCAAACACCAGCACCCATATGGTGGCTAACGATCATCCGTAACTCCATTTCCAGGGGGTCTAACGTCCTCTTCTGGCCTCCAAGGGCATTACATGACACGGCATGCTTATGTATATGTAGGCAACACACTCCTATGCATAAAATAAAATAATATTAGATAAAGAAAGAAAAGCAATGTCACTAAAGAAAGGAGAGAAAAACAGAACAGAGCTCCTAATAGGCTGGCATAGTCCTTTTAGCCTATGAAGCTAACTATGGGAAAAAAGAAAAACAAACAAACCACTGAATCATTTAAAAAGTATAACATATCCACAAGCTGCAAATGAAATTCATCAAGCTTCTAAAAGGGATTACACGATAGTCATGTCTAAGGGGGAAAATCAACAGCGATGACTCACAGGCACTGCTGTAGTATTTCGGATGCCAGAGTTGCTAGGGCATGACATAAGAGTACAAATAGGACAGAGAGTGATGTATTTGGAAAGAGAAAAAAACCCAAAATACTTCTGACTCAATTTTTCATGAAGTATAATAAACTCTTCCCTAAAAAGTCCTTTTATTATTTAGAAACTGTTATGTAATAGCATATTTATTCTGTCTTCCCAACAGCTTCTAGAAGGTGTAGAACTTCTAATATACACCTTCCTCAAAGTTGACCCCTAGATATCTGATGAAGAAGCCCATCTTAGAAACGGCTCTTCCCTGAGCTACAAGTACAGCTTGGTAACGGAGCACATGCCTTAGTATGTGCAAGATTCTGGGTTTGAGCCTTAACGTAACAAAAAATAAAAAATAAACAGTTCTGATGCTGATCCCATCATCACCTACACTGCTAGCACAACAAAACAGGTTGAGGCAAAGCCCAATGGCTATAAACACCCAAAGAAACAAATTCCTGCCCAAGAGAGGAGCTAGTAGAACCAACTGGGATGATCTGGAGCTGTGCTATCCAACATGGTGGCCATCAGCCATGTGTACAATTCAAGTTATGTATGTCACTTTTTTTGCATTGCTTTTATTTTTACTTTTTGAGACACGCCTCACTATGTAGCATAGGCTTGCTTTGAACTCGGAATCCTACTTCCTGAGGGTTGAGATTAGAGGTATGTGTAGCACACCTGGCTTAATATTTAAAAAATCAGTTTCTCAGCTGCATTAGCCTCATCTAGAGTGCTCATGTTACTGGGTAGCATACATACCCAACACTGTCACTACTTCAGAAACTTCTGGATGACACTATCTAGTGGCCAAAAGTTTCTGAAGGAATATGGTTATGGATGGCAGTCTTGGGTTTTCTGAAGATGTATAAAGCCACAATAGATCAACAATCACAAGGAAACCACGGAGACCACTAATAACAGGCAAAGAATAGAGATGGCTAGTCTGAGCATTATTCCTGATTGAATAAAGCTTTTAGCAAGTCTGATGTAGTCACAGCATAGAAAGATGGCTAAGATAACATGTACTTTCCACCAAGGTTGCTATTGGCAAAAAGGATCATAGTATTCTATTGGCGTCCACTAGTCCCATGAAATATATGAGAACTTATTCCAAGAAGCCATTGTATTTTATTTCCAGTAAGACTATGAAAGACCAAAAGAAGGTAGATGGTTTTAGTAGGATATAAATGGCCACAGGTGAATTTTCAGTTTCTAGATTTATACAATGAAGAAGTAAATTAAAACTGGGTGTGATGGCGCACGCCTTTAATCCCAGTGCTTAGAAGGCAGAGGCAGGAGAATCTCTGTGAGCTCAAGGCCAGCCTGGTCTACATGGCGAGTTCCAGGCCAGCTGGGGCTACAAGGAGACTCTGTCTTAAAAAGACTGAAAAAAAAAAAGAAGGCAATTTAAAAATTAAGTTTTAGATATGGTGGTTTATGCCTGCAATCCTAGCACTTGGAGACTGATGCAGAATTGCTGAGTTCCAGGCAAGCTTGGGTGGGCTATGAGACCATGTCTCAAAAACCGAAACAAAACAAGACAAAGAAAAAAAGATTAGAAGAAACATACTAAAACATTAACCACTATCTTTTTTTTTTTTTTGGTCTTTTTGAAGCAGGGTCTCCCTGTGGCCCCAGCTGCCCTGGAACTCACTATGTAGACCAGGCTGGCCTTGAACTCACAGAGAACCGCCTGCCTCTGCCTCCTAAGTGCTGGGACTACAGGCATGAGCCACCACGCCTGGCCCACCATCTATTTTTGCAGAGGGACTATGAGTGATTACAATTTTCTTCGTGCATGTGCTTTCCCTTCTATAATTTACTAAACAAAAGAATTTTAGGGGGTTGGAGATCTGGCTCAGCGGTTAAGAACACTGGTTGTTCTTGCAGAAGACCTGGGTTCAAATCCCAGAACCCACATGGCAGCTAACAACTGTCCGTAACTCCAGTTCCAGGGGATCCGACAACCTCTTCTGTCCTCTGCAGGCACTGCATGACACGGGTGCACTCACATACATGCAGGCAATACATTCATACACATAAAAAAATATAGTAAAGAAAATATTAAAAAAAAAAATTAAGCTGGGCATGGTGGCGCACGCCTGTAGTCCCAGCACTTAGGAGACAGAGGCAGGCGGTTCTCTGTGAGTTCAAGGCCAGCCTGGTCTACATAGTGAGTTCCAGGGCAGAAATAAATAAAAATAAATAAATAAATAAATAAATAAATAAATAAACAAACAAACAAAAATATTTTTTAAAAGAAAAATATATTTTAGAAAAAAATATATTTGCAACTTAGTTTATTGTCATATAAGATTAAAAGATCATATTAGGGCTTCAGTCTTACAGTGTTCCCAGATATTCCTTTAGGGATTATTTATAAAGATTAAAAAAAAGAAATCACTCTAGGGGCTGGAGAGATGGCTCAGCGGTTAAGAACACTGACTGTTCTTGCAGAAGACATGGGTTTGAATCCCAGCACCCACGTGGAAGCTAACAACCGTTCATAACTCCAGTTCCAGGGGATCCAACAGCCTCTTCTGTCCTCTGCGGGCATTGCACAACACGGGTGCACTTACCTACATGCATGCATAACATTCATACACATAAAATAAAAAAATATTTAAAAAGAAAGAAAGAAAATCACTCTAATCTGAGCTAAAATCATGGTGATGGAATACAGAGTCACAAATTGAGGAGCAGCTGTCACTGGGTACTTTAAATCTGCTTCCCTACAGTGAGACATTTTGTGAGGTGTGAGCCTCTGAAATGAGCACAAAAGGAAATGCCATAGGCAGAAATGCACAATCCCTCTAGAAACTTAAACTACCTTGTTTATGCAGTACTTTAAGGAAATTTACATAATCCTAATCCAATGGACACAGCTAGACACCCAGAAAAAGGTACTAATAATGGAGGGGAACACTATGTAACACCGGCTTATTCATTAAAAAAAAAAAATACAGTAAATTGGGGAAGCTGGAGAGATGGCTCAGGGGTTAAGAGCACTGACTGCTCTTACAGAGGACCTGGATTCGACTCCCAGTACCCACATACTGGATATGTCCTTAACAACTGTCCTTAACTCCAGTTACGGGGAAATCCGACGCCCTCTTCTGACTGCTGAGGCACTGCATGACATAGGTGCACTCACATATATACAGGAAATACACTCGTACACATAACCCCAGCAGATCTCAGTGAGCTCCAGTCAGAACTGCACAGTGGGCCCATCTCAGAGAGAGAGAAAGACAAAGAGACAGAGACATATAAGGTTGTCTAAGTGGATGGCTCTGAGTGTCATATGTGGTTCAATATTAGGGTGTTTGCAAAGCATATTCAAGGCCCTGTGCTCCAACCTCAGCACCACAAAAAGATTAAACAAGCAAGCAAACAAGTAAACAAAAAGCTAACTTCAAAGCAAATAAGCCCCCAAATTTCAAGCTTAGAAAGAAAAAAGCAACTAAGAATAGGCCAAAGAAAGAAGAGGGGTATGCTACACAAATAAACAGAAAAGATGGAAGGGAGAAACAATAATTACTAGGCAGAAGAGAGATGTACTTACCCAACTCTAGATCAAGTCAAAAAGCATAAAAAGTTTCAAAAGGCAGAAGGGAATGGAGATAATGTAAAGAAAGATGAGATACTAGGACCAGGACCAGTGGTGCATACCTTTAGTGCCAGCATTTTAAAAAAAATTTTTTTTATTTTTATTTTATGTGTACAAGTATTATTTTAAGTACTCCTGAGTCATGCAATGCTCATGGAGGTGTCCCAGAAGAGGGTGTCAGAGTCCCTGGAACTGGAGTTACAGATGGTTGTTAGCCATCATGTGGGTGCTGGGAATTGAACCTGGGTCCTCTGCAAGAGCAGTAAGTACTCTTAACCACTGAGCCACCTCTCTAGCCCCTAGTCTCAGCATTTATGAGGCAGAGGTAGGAGGAGCTCTGTGAGATCAAGGCTAGCCTGGTCTACATACTGAGTTCCAGGTCACCAGCTAGGGCTACAGGGAGACTGCCTAAATCAAAAACAAAAACAAAAGCAAAAACAAAACCACCTTAAAAGCAGCACATACAGGAAGAGATTTAGGGAATCTACCTGGTTTATGAACTCACAGCAGAGGGGCCTGTGTCTGAGTTGACACACTATTCTTGGTCTTGACACCCAGTAAGTACAAAAATGTCATCTTATAGAGGTTATGAGCACCTCCATAGAGCTACACAGTTTGAACACCAAAGAGGAAGGGAACTAAAATGGGGAAAGTTAAGTGGTTCCAACAGTTAAAGATTTAGAAATAAGCTCATCTGAAAAAACAAAACAGAATAAGAAATTGCCTGTAACCCAGGCTACTTGGAACACTGAGGCAGGATGCAAGTTTCAGGCCAGCCTGACTTAGAAGGACTCTCAAAATTAAAAAAGAAATTTAAGAGACTGGAGAGATAGCTCAGCAGTTAAGAACACTGGTTGTTCTTGCAGAAGACCTGGGTTCGAATCCCAGCACCCACATGGCAGCTAACAACTGTTCATAACTCCAATCCCAGGGAATCCAACAGCCTCTTCTGTCCTCCATGGGTACTGCACGACACGGGTGCACTTACCTACATGCAGGCAATACACTCAAACACATAAAATAAAAATAATAAATAAATTTTTTAAAAAAAGAAATTTAAATTTAAAGGGGTGTGTGACTAGAGATGTAGCTCACTTATAGTACAGTGCTTAGTAGTGCTTTGTTCAATCCCCAGGACTTGGAGGTGGGGAAGGGAGGGGGTGCTTTTTGAAACAGGGAAGGAGGAAGGCAATAAATGTCCAAGGACAATAAAATATGGCATTTCTCTTTAAAAAGACAGGAATCCCTCCCAATAGAAAGTAGAATGAAGCAGGGCATGGTGGTATGTGCCTTTATTCCTAGCATTTGGGGAGGCAGAGGCAGACAGATCTCTGTGAGTTCCAGGCCAGCTGAAGCTACTGGGAGACCCTGTCTCAAAAGACCAAAAAAAAAGTAGAATGAATATGGGAGACTGTAGAGGGGTTAAATCAGCCCAGAAAACATTATCTTTAATACTAGATTAATATCACCAATTAATATAAATTAATAAATAATCCTTTTTTTTACAAAAAACTTTGAGACAGGGTGTCGCTACGTAGCCTAGCCTGGCCTCAAAATTTATGAACCTCTTGCTTTGGCCTTTTTTTTTTTTTTAGCTTTTTGAAACAGGGTCTCCCTGTAGCCCCCACTGGCCTGGAACTCACTATGTAGACCAGACTGGCCTCAACTCACAGATATACACCTGCCTCTGCCTCCCGAGTGCTGGGATTAATGGCATGCGCCACGATGCCCAGCCCTCTTAGTAAACCATTTTTAAGGAGAAATTTGTTCAATCTGATCACCTACAAAAAAGAATGAAAATTCTATGTGTATATTTTAAGCATCTATATCAGTCACTATCTTAAAAAATACTTAAGAAACAGACTTCTAAGAAATTTATAGTCTATATACTAAGATAAAACTATCTAGACTTGGGGCTGGAGAGATGGCTTTGCAGTTAAGAGAGCACTGGCTGCTCTTGCAGAGGACCTGGGTTTGGTTCCAACAGCATCTACATTACAGCTAACGGTGACCCATGGCTCCAGTTCCAGGAGATTCAATGCCTTTTTCTGGCCTCTGTGTACTTATGCACAGACATGCACACACATGGTGCACTTATATACATACAGACAAAACATTCATATGCATAGAATAAAAATAAATAAGTAAAAAAAGCTATCTAGAATCAAGTTATCACCTATAGACTGCTGAAAAAAATCCAATTTCAACTTTGAAATTGACAACTAGACTAACACACTATTAGGCTAATGTTTCAGGTCACTGACCTGCATTAAAAATCTTTTGAGACTCAATGGGGTGTGACTAAAGCTTGGGCTCCTCCCACCACCTGCACTCTTATAAATGGTTGAAAATCACCTCGTCTGTTGTGGTGGTATCAATACTTGCTTGAGAATTTGCTTCCAACCCCGTCTCTGCTAGGTCATTTCTGACAATCATCTATCAGCATATTCAGATACACCTATCCTCTAGTTCACCCTAGTAGAGCAGTTCATGAATACTCTGATGAAAATGTCAATAAATGAGATCTTAACTGTAGACTTTTGGGAAGGCAGTGCTGGAGATTGAACTCATCCATACTAGATAGGTGATCTACCACCAAGCTGTACCCATAGACTACTCTTTTTCTTTCTTTCGGCCAGTCAGTTTTTAGAACACACTCCATGACCTGGTTCACAGAACTCAGATGCACAGTGATCATGTCATCTTTGGCCAGGGCCAACAGTTACAGTTGCAGGGGCCTCCCTAAACCTTGCTCCAGACTAACCTCACCCTTGTCTCTCATTCCTTATTCCCCATGCCAGGTCCTCTGCCCTCACTTTTCCTGCCACTCTTTTGTAATTTTCTCAGATGCCAGGCAAGTAGCAGCACCACAATTAGGCTCGATCACATAAAGAAAATACTACAGGATCACCTGGGCATGGGGTCACTGAGAGGCCTAGGTATGGACTGCTCTGTTACACCTGCTGCATCCTCTTTTCCAACTACCTCCTGCCACTCCAGCTACCCCAGTCTTTGTCCAGTACTGCACCAATAGGCGATGCCCTCTGGCAACCATTTTTTAAAATTAAAATTTATTTTATTTTATTATTGCTGTATGTATGTGTGTATGTGGGTGCAGTATGCCTTGGCATACATGTGGAAGTCAGAGGACAGCTTTGTGGTGTTGGTCCTGGGGATCAAACTCGGGTTTACGTAGCAAGTGCTGGAGCTACCCCACCCACAAACTCCTCTGCTTCTGTTCTCTTGGAGATTCTAAAAGTGCTGATCCTAACACCCTCCTCCTCCTCTTTGCTTTCGTGTCCAGTTAGTAGAAAAGCAAACCTTAAACTGCAGCATGGGTTGTTTCACAATTTATTGTAAACAAAATAAACAGCTTGTTTTCATTCATCCCATTAGGTATTTATTCCCCTTCCTGATATATCGTAGATGCTTCAAAAGATAAGTGTACCTTCCCACTTGTTTTTCGTTCAAGCTTGGCTTTTGGCTTTTGCAAAGCTCTGTAGTAGCTAAAGTAAAAATAAGTAGATTGGAAAACAGGGAGAATGAAGCATGCACAACTCTCCTGCCTGTTATAAATCTGTCCAATGAGATGGCTGAACAACTAAGAGGTAGTACTGGATGGTGGGAAGAGCACAGGCTCCCAGATCAAGGTCAAAGTTAAAAGATGTATGCTCTAGTCTCAGCCCACCATTTTAATGGACACTGGCTTTGGACAAGGTATGACCCTCATTTGTAAAACAGAGCTAATTATTTGATAGAAGGCTAGACTAAGCTGGGCATGGTGGCACACACCTTTAGTCCCAGCAGAGGCAGGTGGATCTCTGTGAGTTCAAGTCCAGGCTAGTCTACATGGCGAGTTCCATGCCAGCTGGGACTACAGGGAGACACTGTCTCAAAAACAAACAAACAGGCATGAGCCACCTTGCATGGCTCATGCTAATCTTTTTACTTCTTAGTACCATCTTTCCTTAGAAAAGTAACACATCCTAACTGCTGTACATCAATCTTGTTCTTTGGTTCTTCTGGGCCCCCATGAATGGTTAAAGAAGTCTTTAAGCAATCATCTTTCTACCACAAGTGAATTACTCAACAACAAGTTCCAACAAGAACCTTGTCTTAGGCTCTTGTTCCCTGATAAATGATCAATCTCAGGTAAATACTCCAAAAATGGTTAAATGTTATTTGGTTTTGCTTTTAGTTTTTGAGAAAGGATCTTATTATGTAGTTCTAGCCCAGAACTCACTAAGCAATCCAGGCTGGCCTCAAACTCATGCAACCCTCTTGCCTCTGCCTCCCAAGTGCTGGGATTTTATGGATGTGCCAACAAGCTTGGCTATTTGGGGGGTGGGAGGGGGTTGAGACAGGGTCTCCTTGTAGCCCCAGCTGGCCTGGAACTCACTATGTAGACAAGGCTGGCCTTGATCTCACAGAAATCAGCCTGCCTCCCCAGTGCTAGGATTAAAAGCGTGTGCCACCACCCCCCGCAATGGCTTTTTTGGGGTGGGGGCACAGGGTCTTGCTATGTAACCTAAAACATGAGATCCTCCTACCTCAGCTGAGCACTGAGATATAGGCCTCCCCCACCATACCTATAATGCTATTTGAAATAAAAAATCCATACAATCTATACACTCTGTACTGGAGGTTACTTCTTTTCATCACTGGAGCCAAAATAAGCATGACAAAATCACCCACTTCATGACAATTCTGAGCAACAGAGAAAATTACAGGCATACTAAAATAAAATGGGAAAAATACCAACAAATGATGAGACACGTTAACATAAGCTTCTCTTAAAATATATGGAGTATGCTTCCTTACGGTCACCTCAGGACAAATTTCTCTGTAAAGTATTGGTCTACATTTCCTTTAGCTCCTAAAGACTGAAAAGGTATGATGATTTCTTTGGCTAACAGCATAGTTATAAAGAGAATGAGGTAAAATAAATAATATACATCTCTAGGCTGATCTGTAAGGACACGAAAATCATACCGGTGGTGCCAGGACATTTACAGCATAAGTGCAGTGGGAAGGGCTGGACTTTTAGAATAGAAAAGACCTGGGTTTCAGGCCCAGCTCTACCATTTATTAACTGGGAAAGCTAGTCTTTCAATTAGATTTTTAAAACTCTGTTAAAGTGAAGAATAATACTATCTACTTCAAAAGGATAAGCATTGAGACAGTATGTATGTAAAGCACCTGGCACATAAAAAGTGCTTATTAAATGAGTAACAGTAAGCTAGCCCCCTTACCCAAAAAATGAAGGAATGGAGGGAGTAAGTGGAGGGAGGGAGGGAGGGAGGGAAGAAGCCAAAACAACAAAAACTTCTTAAGGCATCTACTCATTCAAATCTGGAGCCTTTGTCATCCATGAACTCTGCTCCCCAGAGGATATTTAGCAATATCTGAAACCCTTTTTAGTTGTCACCACTTTACTAGCACCTAGTGGATACAGGCCAAAGATGCTGCTAAACAACCTACAATGAATAGCATGGTGTCCCAAACAATTATCCAGTCCAAACCAGCAAGTATTATTCGGTACTCAATCTAGAAAGCTCTTTCCTTTCTTAGCCTTAGTTTACTCTTCAGCATTGTGGAAATAAACTTATCTGTGCTCCATACCTCACCAGGCTGTTTAGAGTCTCAAGTGAAACCATGGATGAGAGGCACTTTCCTCATCATCATCTTTTACAATACACACTAAAGCTCCAATTTGCTGGGCAAAGACAGCAATTTTCCCATATTGAGAAGCCTTGGGATCAGAGAGGGAGGGAGGTTAATGGAGACAGAATTCTTTGGGAATGCCATTATTCAAAGGGGACTCTTGTTTACTCAGTCAGATCACAGGAGTTTCATGAGTAGCAAGGGGATGGGGCATGTCTCAGGGAGAGAAAGGAGCAAGACAGGAGGTGGGAAGTAGATGGGACAGAACAAGCATACCAAAGAGGAACAAGCAGATGACTGGAAGTGAGACACTGCTTACTGTTCAGTCTATTTGGGCTGCCACAACGCAATACATAGAATGGAAGTCAATTTCTCACAGTTCTAGAAGCTGCAAAGCTCAAGATCAAGATTACAATACAGTTTGGATTCTGATTAGGGTTCTTCCTCCTTTACAGACAGCTATCTTTTTACCATGTCCTCATGTGGCAGCTGGGAGAGGTCACTGATCCTATTACATTAGGAGCTACCTTTCTGAGCTTATTTAACATTAATCACTTCCATAAAGGTCTGCCTTAGTTTTATTTCCTGTTGCTATGATAAAAAATATTCTGACAAAGCCATGCGTGGTGGTGCACACCTTTAATCCCAGCACTCGGGAGGTACAGGCAGGTAGATCTCTGTGAGTTCAAGGCCAGCCTGGTCTACATCGTGAGTTCCAGGACATCTGGGGCTACAGGGAGACCCTGTCTCAAAAAGACTGAAAAAAAAAAAAAAATCCTGACAAAAGAATTTAGCTGAGTGAGGTTTAATTTGAGCTCACAAATCCAGGTTATAGCCATTCTAGCAGAGAAGACAAGGGGGCAGGAATTTAAAGCAGCTAGTCACAGTCACAACTAAGAGCAGAGAAAGAATGAGTACCAACCAACCTGCATGCTTGCTAGTGCTCAGCTCACTTTCTTCTTTTTAATACAATCCAGTACCCAAACCCAGAGAACAGTACGGGTCATTTCTAGGCTGTCTTTCCACTTCAATTAGTAATCAAGATAATCCCCCACAAACACGTCCATAGGTCAATCTAATCTAGACATTCAATGCCTCTTTGTGACTGTCTTCCCAGGTGATTCTAGAGTGCCAAATTGACAATTAAACTAACCAGTGCAAGGCCCCGTCTCTAATAGTGCCAAATTGACAATTAAACTAGCCAGTGCAAGGCCCCATCTCTAATAGTGCCAAATTGACAATTAAAACTAACCAGTGCAAGCCCCCTCATCTCTAATAGTCACATGGGAGGGAGGGGCTAAAGCATCAATATACAAATTTAGCGGAAGCACAACTCATTCTATGGCAGTAAGGAACACATCAGACAGCTGAAGATCCCTGTGACCTCAGAGAGGCTCAGATATTAATTCAGTACTTAAAACAAAATTATGTGGATGTGTCTGTGTTTGCGCACATGAGTGCAAGTGCCTACAGAGGTCAAAGAGAGTGCTGGAACCCCTGGTGCTGGAGTTACAGGTTGTTATGAGCCACTATATGTGTGTGCTGGGAACTGAACCCAGGTCCTCTGCAAGAACTGTATGCATTCTTAACTGCTGAGTAGCCATCTTTCCAGCTCCAATTCAGTGCTTTTCTATAGGCACATCCACTATCCCTTACCTTTTCTATGAGACACCCAGGCAAGTAACTTCTACAACTCTTCCATTTTAGGTGCCTCCTCAGTCATCCTGTGGCCTTTCAGGGTCAGGGAAGGGCTAATGCCCTTATTTGTGTCATTTCTCAAACAGCTGAGCTCCATCGGGTCATGTGTTTCTAATATTAGCTAATTAAAATCAATTTTGGACCAGCTCTCAATCTTAGGAGCTTTTTGTAAAATTCTGAACAGGCCAGGTATGGCACAGCACAAGAATTCAGAGATCAAGGCTAGTCTGAATTACATAGTGAAACCCTGTGTCAAAACAACAAAGGTGCTAGGGGTGTGTGGCATAATGGCTGAGTACTTGACCAGCATGTACAAAACCTTGGGTCAATTCTCAGTAAACAACAACAACAACAACAAAAACCCAGTAACAACAAAAAACAGCTCTTAACTACATCCTAGACCAATCTAGTCAGGTTATCAGTAAGAAGGGAGGACCAGATACCAGTGATTTTTACATTTCCATAGGTAATTCCAAGGAGAAGCCAAAACTGAGGCCCACTATCCACATATCCTGTGTCCTGGCCGCTGATCTCCTTAGACTGGTCTAGGGTAGGACCCCGTTGGATCTGCATTTAAAATTTTTTAAAATTTTATGTGTATGAATGAGTGTTTTGCCTGAATATATGTAAGTGTACCTATATCATGCAATGCCCATGGAGGCCAGAAGAAGGCATTGGATCCCCTGAAACTAAACTTACAGATGGCAGGTGCTGGGAACCAAACCCAGGTCCTCTGCAAGAGGCACTTGCAGATGGCTCTTAACCTTTGAGCCATCTCTCCAGCCGCTGGGATTTACATTTTAAAACAACCTCTTAGCTGATTCTGATGACTGCTCAGGCTAAAGACAGGTTACTTCCTTCCTAAAGCTAAACTGCCTGCCTTCTTCTGCCCTGTGAATATAATTTCTATGACCAGACTGAGCTTTACAGTTACAAATTTTATTTCTTTTCTCCTCTTCATGGCACATCATTTGAGTATAGCCCTTTAGAGGACAAAGAAATATGGTACTTAGAGGAGAGAGTTTTCTGGAAATGAGGGGAACCAGCAAGAGATGCCAAGAGGGAGTTTAAAAAGCATGCAGATTGCCAAAAGAGAGAAGTCTAATGAAAAAGAAGTGATAGAGAAGTCAAAAGGATGACTATGGTGTTGGAGGGATGCAATATCAATTTAGTAAAAATGTAAGTCAACATAGCTAGATGCTGTAAAGGGCCTTGCTTTGGGCAGAAAAAGAGCTAGCAATAACATCTTCTGGTGCCCTCACCCCTTCCCACCTACCCGCCTCATTCATACTCTTCATCAATTCTTTCCTCAAAGGATGTTATGGACTCACACCAAATTATAAAGTATTTTAACAGGGATTAGGACAATAAACAAACAAACAGACAAAAATAAAAAGGATAGAAAAGAAGAATTTCTGAGGCATATACTGAACAGAGAGAGACAAGAAAGATCAGCCTGCCTTAACTTTTTAGTACCTCACATACAACTCTGGTCTTGCTGAATCCTGGTAGTTATCAACTATGCTGTTCATCAGAAAGTTTTCTAACATTGACATAAAAATGAGGTTTACAGGCTGGGTGTGGCACACTTGGAGGCAGAGGCAGGCAGATCTCCATGAGCTTCAGGGCAGCCAGGGCTTCATAGTGAGGCCCGGTGTCAAAGAGCCAAAAAAGGGCTGGAGAGTTGGCTTATCGGTTAAGAGCACTGGCTGCTTTTGCAGAGGACCCAGGTTCTATTCCCAGCACCACACAGCAGCTAACAACCACCTGTAACTCCAGTTCCAGGGGAATTTGATGCTGTTTTTTGACTTCCATGGGCATTGCATGACACGAGTGCATTTACATACAGGCAGGCAATACACTCATACTCATAAAATTTAAAAGTAACAAATAAGTATTTTTTTAAAAAGCCAAACAAAAGCAACCAAAAACCCCACCAAAAATGAGGTGCTGATGAAAATGGTGATGTTGACAAGATAATACCACAGACTCAAAATTATAGCCTGTATATATCACCAGCCCTATACATGTTAAATTTTCCTTATAGAAACTAAAAATCAAAGCATTTGGATTCTAAATCAAACACCACATTCACACTTTCTATTTAATTTGGCCATATTATTTTTTTTTCCTCCTTAAAAATCTCTGTAAAATAGGAAAACTTCAAAGGTGACTGAAGTTGCCCATGGAAATGAAAAAGAGAAAAAGAGGGAACATCAAAGAGTGAGTTAACTTTTTCTTTTTTATTTTATTTTAGGTTTTTCTTGGCGGCGGGGGGGGGGGGCTGAAACAGGGTCTCCCCGGAGCCCCAGCTGGCCTAGAACTTGCTTTGTAGACCAGGCTGGCCTTGATATCAGAGATCCGTCTACCTCTGCCTCCCAAGTGCTGGGGTTAAAGGCATTCGTTACCATACCCGATTTAAGAAATGTGGGGGTTTTTTGTGGGTTTTTTTTTTTTTTTTTTTTTGGTCTTTTTGAGACAGGGTCTTCCTGTAGCCCCAGCTGGCCTGGATTCGCTATGAAGACCAGAGACCAGGCCGGCCTCAAACTCAGAGATCTGCCTGCCTCTGCCTCCTGGGTGCTGGGATTAAAGGTCTGCACCACCACGCCAAGATATGTGTTCTAAAAAGTATTCCCATCATTAAAAGTCAAGCTAAATGCTTTAGTTAATATTCTAATGATACAGAAAATATATAGTAGAGGAAACATTTGTACATATTTTGGTTAAAACAAAAAGACTTTTTTACCTTATCATTTAGAAGTGGTTTAATCTCTGTGAGTTGAACATCCTGAAGTTCATCCATGAGGATAATCAGAGCAGAAGAATCTCAAGAATAAATCAGTAACTCTGAAACAGAAGAAAAGGAAGAGAAGACACAGGTTCAGGCTAGGTGTTAGGAACACAACAGCCAATCCACACACACTAATTCACACTGGAGCTTACTGTGTCGACCAGTCCTGCTCAGGGTGCTGAGGACAGTGAAGGCAAACAGGCTCTAGTAGCCTCCAAACTTCTTCACATCCTGGTAGTCACACCATTTCACAGCTTCACATCCCACCCTATGGAGTGTGGGTAGGGACTGGGGCGTGCCTTTGACCAACAGAATAAAGGGAACATAGAACGTTCATGAATACTTGTACATGGCTACATTACAAAATATTTTAATATCTGTCTTGCTCAAAGACACTCTGCCCTGTTAGCTTTTTTTTTCTTTTAATTATTTTTATTTTATGTGTACGCGTGTATTGCCTGCATGTAGGTAAGTGTACCCGTGTTGTGCAATGAATGCTCATGGAGGACAGAAGAGGCTGTCGGATCCCCTGAAACTGGAGTTACGGACAGTTGTTAGCTGCCATGTGGGTTCTGGGATTGAACCCAGGTCTTCTGCAAGAACAGTCAAGTGTTCTTAACCACTGAACCATCTCTCCAGCCTCTGCCCTGTTAGCTTTGAAGAACCAGCTGGCATGCTGTAAGGGAGTCATGTGGCAGGGAATAGAAGGCAGCCTTCCAGTAAGACAGTAAGAAACTGAGATCCTAGGGGCTGGAGAGATGGCTTAGTAGTTAAGAGAGCTTTCTGCTCTTGTAGAGGACCTGAGTTCAGTTCCTAGCACCCAAGTCAGGTGGCTCACAACTGTCTGTAAATCTAGCTCCAGGGGATCTGACACCTTCTTCTGGACACTGCAGGCACTTGCATTCATGTGCACATTCCTACACACACACACACACACACACACACACACACACACACACACACACACACACACACACACACACAGGAGAATAAAAGAAAACAAGAGACTCTCAGTTCAACAGTCTGCAAGTCTGAATAGTGTGAATAATCACAGGAGCCTGGAAACAGATTCTTCCCCAGCAGAGTCATTCAGCTGAGAGGCAAACCCTGACTGACACCTTGATTTGCAGCCTTACAGGGGAACTACTGAAGCCATGAGGTAATAAATGTGTGTTGCTTTAGGTCACTAAGTTTGTGGTAATATTTTTATGAGGAAGCAAATGACACATACAATAGTCTTTATACTCATGGTTTATATGACTTGGTTCCCAAAGATGAGTAAGTAAGAGATAATATACTCGGAACTATGCTACTGGAAATAACAATTTGGAGGGTGGATTAAAGGGAGGAGGGCAACTGAAATTTAATATTACAGAAAAAGGCACTGAATTAGTAATGACAGCAGCAATGAAGAGGAAATGACCTTTCACTGGGGAATCACAACAATGGACAGAATATGGTAGCTGGCCTCCAAGATGGTCTTCTATGAGTCCCATTATTGAATCCTGATATTCATACTCACTTACAATCTCCTACCAAGTACACAGGGAGGACCTGTGTTACTAACAGAATATAGGAGAAATAATATATGACTTTTCAGTTATATTACAAAGCACTGCAGTTCCTGCTTCTAGGCACTGTAAATGTTTAGCCACTGTCTCTGAGGGAAGATAGCTAGTATATTGTGAGGGCACTCAACTGACCACTGGTTGGTTCATGTTTGTACCAACCTTCCAGCCATGTGGCTGAACCACTTTGTAAATGAATCCTCCAGCCCCAATTAAGAGTTCAGATGACTAAGCCCTAGTGACATCTGACTGCAACCACATGAGACACTGGCTAGAACTGCTTGACTAAGCCTATTTCTGAATTCCTGAACCACAGAAACTATGAAGGATAATAGTAATTTTATTTTGAAGTGATTTGCTATGTAGCAATAGATAACCAATACAAAGAGGGGGAAAATGTGGAATTTAAAGAAAGGAGGGCAGGTGGAGGGAGATGGGGTAATTAACTAGAAAGGCTTCCTTCATCCCACTGTACAGCCATGGAGAGACTGTAAACACTGGGTCCTCAGGCTAGTGCTTCTTACCCCAACTTCAAAGCTCTAGACTTCATTCCTTCACCTTGACCCTGAACCCAGGAAAAATGCTCATTCAATGAGTTTGGAATTTAGCATTCAACATTCATTTACTAGAGACCTGTGCAAAGCACTAGGGAAAGATCAGAACAAAGTTCCTGTTTTCTAGAGCTTACTAAAGAGTAGAGATGACAGTGATCTATAAAATGATTTTTAAAAAAATAGGGATGGAGAGATGGCTCAGCGGTTAAGAACACTGACTGGTCTTGCAGAAGACCCGGGTTTAAATCCCAGCAACCACATGGCAGCTAACAACTGTCTGTAACTCCAGTTCCAGGGGATTCAACAGCCTCTTCTGTCCTCCATGGGCTTTCACTGCACAACACAGGTACACTTACCTACATGCAGGCAATACATGCATACACATAAAATAAATATAATAAATAAAAATTTTTAAAAATATAAAAAATAAAACCTGAAACCTGGAAACTGCTAGAAGAAAACACATTTAGAAGTTATAAAAAAATGTAAATTAAAATAAAAAAAAGAAGCCCATAAAAGATATTGGTCTGTTGAAAATGCTTGACCTATGATGGCTAATATCCTGATGAACCCATTGTAAATTGAAATTATGTTTACAATGAATTTAGTATACCCTTACTGAACATCATTACTTAGATACTGTAAAGTATCAGTTGTTCCTCATGATCACACACTGACCAGGTGCTGTTGTTTGCTGCCTCTGCCCAGCATGGCAAGAGAGTACTGCAGTACAGATCACCAGCCTAGAAAATGATAAAAGTTCAAAACTCAGAAGGTATACAATGCATGCCTAGAAAATTATCAAAGTTCAAAACTCAGAGGTATATAATGCATGAGACCCTGGGTTTAATCCTCAGCCTGGAAAAAAAAGCGGCCTGAGATTTACTCATTTTGATTATTACTCATATGATGAAGTGTAGCTGTTTTTCATTTGTACTTTGCATGTCCACTTTAGAACATGTGAAAATCACAGAATAATGAAAAGACACTTTACTTATAGTTCTTCCATCTAAAAGACAACCATTTTATGAGCACTAGTAAGGCACAGGCACAAGGATCGATGATGAAGAAAGCAGGACAAACTTCACTGTGTGTCAACTTGTCAAGGAACCTTGGGTCCAAAGACACAAACATCTTAGTGCTCCCCTGCTTGCTTTTTTTTTTTTTTTTTTCTGAGACAGGGTCTCATATAGCCCAGGCTAGCCCCAAACTTGATCTTTAGGTGAGCCTGGCCTCGAACTTCTCATCTTCCTGCCTCTACATTCTAAGTGGTGGGATTATAGGTATGTGCCACTGTACCTGGCCAGCTCTTGCTTTTAAAGATAAATGAAAATGAGGTGCCTTAGCTGGTAAAAACTTAGATGCAAACTAAATAAGAAGACTGTCCCTACCAGCTGGGCTCAAAGCAGACTAAGGAAAGAATGCCAAAAAGACAGTAAGCTGTTTCAGGGTTACTTAGAACTTGGCAACAAGACAGCAGTGTTCACCTTCCACATATGGACGAAGCTCATGCATTCTTCCAGAGACACAATTTTTCTCAGTTCCTGCCATCTTCAGCCCTTGCCAGTGAGCAGTTTTATAATATCTACAAGAAAAGTAAGATCACATGATGGAAAACTCCATCTCCAGACACCTCAGCTGCACAGACTGGCTCCCTCCTGGGGATCTGTGACCTGCAGTTCTGGAATCTGCTGCCAGGTCCCATCCTGGCACACAGAGCTATAGTTTCTAAAGACGAGTAGGGATTTTATAAGCTACAGCAGACAATAAAATGTTTACCCTCTTTCCTAGTTTTAGGAAGTGGGAAGAGTGGCAAAATCACCCTTAAACTGAGGGAAAAGGAAAGGGGTCAAGTGAGCACCAAGCCTGTGCCAGGAATTCTCTAAGCACCTTATGTTTAATCCTCATATCAATCCTCTCAGAAGATATCCTCTTTTCTTACCTTATAAATGAAACTTCAATCAGATTTCAAAATTCTATATGTAAGGGATAAGGCAAGGATTTAAAAACCTTTGCCTTCTCCACTATACCATAATGTCTATGCCAGGCCCTGCCTGCTGGGCATGGGAACCTGGACAAGTTCCTCCCTCTCCATCCACAATGTTGGCACCCCTGTAAAGTAAAGGCAGTGAAGCCTAAAGCAATCCTATACATACCAACTATGACTCAGACCCCTTGAAAATGGAGAGTTGAGTCATCACACCAGGCTAAGAACACTCACTCTCAGTAGCTAATTAAGAGCAAGGAGAACATGAAATGAGTAGAGAAAGGGGAAATTAAATTCCAGTGATTCCTTGGTAGCCAGTTTTAGAAACAAGGGCTACTTCTCACCTATTATAGTATGCATCCGACTTTAAAGCACCCTCTCTCCTGGGGCTCTTAATCAGTTTTGGGTCTAACATGTAGCCCATCACCAAAAAGGACAAATCATATGAGAGGAGGGGGTGAAATGAAAGGCAGGATTACCAGCAACATCTTCAATAAAGATGTGAGAATGGGCAGAATGTATTTTCATTCTGCCTTCTTCCAAAAAGAATTTCAGTAAACTACATGGAATTTAAAAAGACTCAACAGGCAAGATCAACTAAAAGGGGAAGACATGAGAGGACAGCTTGCAGAAACCTAGCTGAAAGGTAACAAGAGTTTGTCAGGCAGTTGAAATTACAAATGTAAAGAAAAAGAGGGGCTGAGGGTATAGCTCAGTGCTAGAGCACCAGCCCAGTATACACGAGGCCCTGGGTTTGATCCTCAGTACTGCTAAAAAATGAAATTGGAAAAAAAAAAAGCAAAGTAAAAGTTGGTTGTGCTGGACAGTTTCAGTTGTCAACTTGACACACCTAGAAGAAGGAACTTCAGTTGGGACATTTCCTCTATCTGTTGGCCTGTGGCCATGTTTATGAGGCATTTTCTTGATTGTTGAATGATGTGGGAGGGTCCAGCCTACTGTGGGTGGTACCACCCCCAGGCAGCCGATCCTAGGTTATATAAGAGAGTAAGATGAGGGGCTGGAGAGATGGCTCAGCAGTTAAGAGCATTAACTGCTCTTACAGAGGACCCAGGTTTGATACCTAGCACCCACATGGCTGCTATGAACCATCCTTAACTCCATTTCCAAGGGAATCTGAAGCCCTCTTCTGACCTCCATGGTATTCAGGCAATACACTCATCCACATAAAATAAAAAAATATTAAAAAAAAAAGAAGTCAAATGGATTGGCCAGACTACCACAGCTGCAAACTTGTCTTTCAATTGTAAATGCTTACCTTATGCCCTGTATTACACACACTGCCCCTCTGGTCATTACAGATGAAGACAGAAAGGGCAAAAAGAATATTCAGCAGACTAGCTTACCACATCCACCCTACGAAAGGACCTCCCCATCTCTAGTTCTCAACTACCATAAGGCTTTGGCAAGTGCAGAGAGTTCTTGTTGGAAATAGGAGCTAAGATTAAAAGTGACTGCTGGAGATGGGCCATGCGAGCTATCCATCAATTACAAGATACATATACAGAACGAGTGTATGTAACAGCACAAAGTGTAACACATGATTAACACTATGCAAGTCACACACCAGTGGTATTTCTATGTATCCCACCCAGAAGAAAGAACATTGCTGGCATTGTCTTATACTACATCTAGTGTTTGGATAACAGTCTTAGAGCCAGAAGCAGCTTACCCAGTACGGAGGTGCGATAACTGAAGACTAGATGGTCAAGAGATTCCCAAAGGAGGTGAGAATGATGAAACCTGAAAGAATATACCTTGAATAGCTGGAAGGTAGGAAAGGACATTCCAAGTGAGGATACCCAAGGTAAGAAAGAAATACAGGCATCACACACAATATAGCAATGTAGCCTGGAGAGAAGGCAACACACAAAGGAGCCTGGGTCAGAATGTGGGACTCCAAAACCAGATTTTACTGTCTGGGTAAGCACTGACAGTTTCTGAGAATGACAGAGTTGTTTCACTTTTCAACTGTTTAAAACTTGGTCATAGGGGCTGGAGAGATGGTTCAGTGGTTAAGAGCACTGACAGCTCTTGCAGAGGACCAGGGTTCAATTCCCAGCACCGACATGGCGGCTACGAACTGTCCTTGACTCCAGTTCCAGGGGAATCTGAAGCCATCTTCTGACCTCCGAGGCATTGCGTGGCACGGGTGCACTCACATACATGCAGGCAATACACTCATACACATAAAATGAAAATAAAAAGTTAAAAAATATTTAAAAAAACAAACAAACTTGGTCATTGGGGCTGGAGAGATGGCTCAGGGGTTAAGAGCACTGATTGCTCTTAGTTTGATTCCTAGCACCCGCATGGCAGCTAACAACTGTCTGTAACTCCAGTTCCAGGGGATCCCACACTGTCTTCTGACCTCTGCAGGCTCGACACGGGTGCACTTACACAATTGTAAATGTTCCCATGCTGGCAATATATTCATACACATAAAATAAAAATAACAAAAATTTTTTATAAAAAACTTGGTCATCTTGTCTACAAGTTATCTTAGCTATATCTGGATCTGAGACCTTTAAAAAATCAATACCTGACCCTAATCCTAAAGATCCGCATTTTAACAATTAATTAGTTTATTATTTTTATTTTATGTGTATGAGTGTTATGCTTGCATGTAGGTAAGTGTACTCGTGTTGTACAATGCCCTCAGAGGACAGACGATGCTGTTGGATCCTCTAGAACTAGAGTTACAGACAGTTGTTAGCTGCCGCAATGTGGGTGCTGGAATTCAAACCAAGGTCTTTTATAAGAACAGTCAGTGTTCTTAACCATTGAGACATCTCTCCAGCCCCATCCACAGGTAATTCTTAAATGCAACCAGGGCTAAGAAGCAGTAGTCTTCAGCAATATCCTTTTTAGCCAATAAGGGAAGAGAGACACAGAAAACTTAAGTGATTTGCTTAAATTCACAGAGTTGGCTGCCTAAGAGGCTAAGACCAGGGCTGGACTCCTAGCTGAGACTCTGAAAGATATTCCAAAACACTGGGCTACATTCCATACTTCCATCTAGAAGCACAGATATCTGATGACTTGGTTCTTAAGTTTTGTCAGGCTTAAGGCCTGAATTAATCTGATCATAAAACTATTGACTTAAGTGTCCCCTCGAGTGTCTCGGGTAATGGATGTTGGTTTCATTGCTATCCCTTGGGGCCCTTAAGAAAACAAAGGATCTCAAGAGACAGCTCAGGAATCCAGATTAAAAAAAAAAATAGCTTGGTGGAACAAACAAGGACTTTAAATATAGATATAGATCACATAGATTTTTTTCCCTACACAAATGAAAATCTAGATCTTTCTTTATAAGAAAAAAGTTTCAGATGCTACCCTTCCACCTACATAAGTAAAGGGGAGTGAGGGTCAAAGGCAGCTACTGAAGCATACTCTGATCCTCATTTGAACAGGAAACAACCTTGCCAACCACACCCCTTACAAGAGGCCCACCCTTTTGCTATGTCATTCTTGGGGTCTGGCAGCAGGTGGTAAATTTGCAAAGACTGCCAAATTGGAAATGCAAGTCTTTCCTAGGAGTTCATTTTATTCATTCCAGGGACCTGGTACAGATAACTACTAGAACACAGCAATTCCCATAGAGAGGTCTTGTTCATTCCAGATACCCAACCAACTGAAAGTTCTCCTACTTGAAGGTTATACTTAAAGCAGCTGTAGCACCAAAAGCATAAGCTTCTGTCTTCCACTTTTGAAGGATGCAGCTCAAGACACTAGAAAAGCTACTGCTGGCAAGGCCCTAGTATATGCTCTTGGAGGAGCTCTGGGTTCCTGTAAGTCAGCTGTAAGCCAGAATCTTCAAAAACAATTTGTTCCCTATTACAGTCTGAATGAGGTAAAGGACAAATAGAAGCCCTAAAAGGCAGACTTCACATTCATACTTGCCAGATTTACTGCGTGCTTCACCGTCAGGTACCACAATAAGCACTTTATTCATTCATTACTCCATGTTACTTCCTGACTTAGAGCTAGTACTGTAGTTCTCACCCTTTTACAGATGAAGAAACTGGAGTTCAGCTAGGTCTTGTAATTTGCCAAAGGTCACACAGCTAGCAAGCAGACAAGGGTTTGTACGTTGGTAACCTGCACCCAGATCTCTGATAAGCCTATTAGCAGCATTTCCTGTCTGATGTCAACTGATCATTAAATTTTCTTTTATTTTCTCGGGTTTGGTTTCTTAAGTTATTAGAAATTTAATGATCAATGAATTTTGAAAACAGAAAAGCACTATACAAAGTTTGGGCATTGTTACTGTAATAGGACAGAACAGCACCTACCTGGGGGTACAGAAAAAGCAATCTATCTGTGGGATGACTAAGGACCCAAATTACATTACATTACAGTCAACACACTGTTAAAACCATCTCAAAACAATGACTTAAAAGAAGCGGCATTTTCAAAAGTCAAAGAATGTCAGGAGGAACTCTGCTCCCAGCTTTCTGACTGCAGGAATAGAGAGACACAATACTGACCTGTCTCTTCTCTTCTTTCTGCCACGTTTTAGAGATTAATGTACAAAGGCCCTGGCACTAAGATACCATTTTTTACAAGCTTTAAATTTT